ATATATAAATTAGCCTATTACCTTGAACTGTTGATGAGATCATATAAGGCAAACTCCCACTTACAGCTTATTACAGTGGAAGAGATTTATTAAAGGGTTTGGAATGCACTTGTTTTGAGATACTGGATATGTAGGAGGGAAAGAAAGGGAATATTTGGATAGATGATGTGATGGAAAGTCTGGGTAAAGCCCACGGCTATACTAACACAATAAAGGAGGGTTGGCCAATCTAAGAGTTATTTGCCTTTAGTCCCTTAAACAATAAAGGTCCAGTTCATCGAGTTTCTCTTCAGCTGGTAAATGGCCCAAAGTAGGAACATTTAACCCCAGTGGAAAACAAATCAAGACAAAAGATGTGCTGTGATGTCTCACAGTTTAATACCTTGTGGAGTGCCTGAAAATGGCTCTTGCCTGTTCTAATTATTCCTCAAGTGTCAGATCAAAACTCTGAATAATTCAGCTTTAATTTGATTTTTAAAGTATTGTGAGGTGTTTGGCTGTAGGATGAAGTGTTGGATGGAGAAACTCAGTATTGTACTGTTGTTAAAGGTGCTGGTTACTTTCACCACTTTGTATCGCCACCTTGTACTTACCAGGTACCACACTCATGTGCTCATCATTTCGTAGCCATGTATTTCTGTGTCCTTGTCAAAGGTAAGAGCTGCAGGTCAGAGCTCAAGCTAGGATCTCTTTACAGTTCTTGGAGTTGTCAATTCAAAACTATGAGAAATTGAGCCATTTTTTTTGTTTTGTTTTGCTGCAGCATCACTGATTTTTGAGTGTTTTTGACCAAGCTGCCAATGAGCCGTACAGCCACTTTTTGAATATCATGGCAATTTTTTGGCATGCGCAGCTTACAAAACTGTTGTATGACATGCAAATTATCATGTTGCCTATTTTCAACCATATCGTACAAGTCTAGACTCGCTTTGTGCCCACCTTGACAGTGTTTGATGTTTAGAATTTAACTTACCAACGTTCCCTTGTGGAATGAAGATAGCAGATTTGGACCAGGTTAGTTCATCACTGATGGTTGGACCTAGGGTTGGGCATAATCCTATCGTGTGCAATTAATCGTCAGAAAAACATTGATCAATTATTTTTTGGCACTTCTCGATTACTACGATTAACGCCACCAGGCAGACTGAGTGGAGATTTCCTCAGTCAGTCCGCTCGGTGCTCTTCTTCGCTTCAAATATGACGGACATTAAAAAAAATTCTGTAATTTATTTATTTATCAACGCAATTTAAAATTTGATGTATAGCCTGAAGTCTGTAATTTTGACATAATTTGGAACAGATTTTTATGAAGAGCAAATCTTTCCCACTAAATTGGTCATGTGACCAGGACATAATGGACTCCAGGGGATTCATCGTCAAATTAATCGTTATCGGCTAAATACCACAATTAATCGTGATGGGTTTTTTTGCCAATATTGCCCAACCCTAGTTGGAGCTGGATATTTGGAGCTGAAGCCTTGGATGTTTTCAGCTCAAGAATTACGAAGACCAAATTGAGAGGTGTTTGAGACACCTGCAACAACTCTGTGTCCAAAATGAAAGCAACAAGACCACAAGTGTCTGGAACTAACATTTTAAGATATTTTGGAGATTCCTTCTGGTAAAGATCAGGGGTTCGAAGACAGAGCTATGGATTTGGTAAACAGCCTACTCTCATCTACAGCAGCTATTTTACTTTAGTAAGTAAAATATCAGTGTCAAAGTGGGTATAAAATAGGGGTGCACCGATAAATCCGCCAGCCAATTTCCTTAATTTTGAGAGATGGGAGATCGGCCGATCTTTAGATAAGAACGGTGGAAAATATCGGCTTCTCTAACTCCACAAAAGTCTGAAAATCAGTCACTGCCCTTTTTGCTCTGCTGTGAGCACCACCTAATGTCCAGTTAAAACAAGTTTGTATTGTTTCAAGGGAATTGTTCAAAGTATTTCACTAAAATAACTTTTGAACATTGAGGTTGTATTGTGAGCTTATAACGTCTGACAGTGTCAGCTGTTTAAAAATATTGGTATCGGCCAAAATCGGAATGGTCGGCAGGTCAAAATTTTTAAAAATTGTGACCAGAGATCATCCAGAAAACTGGAATCGTTGAACCCCCAGTATAAACCAAGGCCAAGGTGGGCACAAAGAAACTCATAGCTCCTCCTCTTTTTGTACCTCATAAAGAAGGCTTATGACCAAAACTGCAAAAGTACAAAGTGGTAAAGTACAAGGTACTCAGCCTTATGTTAATCTGTGTAGTACACAGAGTATATAACTTGCTAAAATGTCAGACTAGATGGAGATTTAAAGTTAACTTGTGACGCTGGTTCTCATCTCTAAGATCACTGTCGCTTTTGAATTACTTTGTGAAGTAAAGGTTTTATATAAACTATTAAATCTCCATCACTGATGACACAGTAATTCTGGCAAAAATGGTCCTGGAAAAATTGAAACTGTGTCTCCAAACTGAGTTTGTTCAAAGATATTGATTGTTTATAACAGAACCTCACTTCAAAATATTTGAAATATACATTTCTTTAATTGTTAGGAATAAATATGTGTACACATTATGTTATAAAGATCTGTGTCCCACCCAAATCGAACCAGTCGACACCCAGTTCTAAGCTTTATTCCTATTTCATTTTTAAGTTATGCTCCTGAAAATCAGCGATATTTCCCTTTAAGCCTGGTCCAGCTCATTTATGTTTTCTGTGCTATGATCCAAACTGACCACTGTGCTCTTATTCTCTAAAGATGGCACATCCAGCTGCTTTTTTCTTCTTGATGACTCAGGCTGCTGGGTGGTGTTAGTGCTGATGTTGGTACCATACAGCCTCTCTGTCACTGACCGTTGGTGCTTTCAGAACATGCCCGGTCCGTGTGAGGCGTTCTGTGTTTCGGACCAGCCGTTTGTTACGCAGCATGCTGGATGAAGACTCAGCTAACTGTGAAAACAGGAAGCCTTGTCTTTATGCTTGTGCTCAAGCTCTGAAGCTGAAAGAAACCAAGGCGGTTGTGTTGAATTCCTTTGTAAAGACTGAAAATATAACATTTTTTCAGTCAATAGAGAGAGACTATGTATTATTAGTTTGTACAGTGCTCATATCTGTGACCTTGCCATGGTCTGTCTCTAGTCATTATTTAGAGATAAAGTGTAATTCTTTAAAAGGAACATGTTATATATTTTGATAATGCTGGGCGGTATAACCCAAATTTTTCATCACTGTATTATCACGGTATTTGACAGTATTTTTCTTTTCATCACAGCTCAGCTGATAATAAAATGTACAAACATTGATTGTTGAACTCTCTTTCTGCAACACAGAAACTATTTCTTGACTTTTTTCTTTCACTGTACCTCTGTCTGTGTCACTGTTTCCCTCCTCTACCTCTCTTCTCTGCCGTAGACCATATAGTCTCACATTTTGGTGTAGCCATGAAGGAGAAGGGTTGAGCAAAGATCATTATGGGGTCTATTGTTTTATCTTATTTTATAAAGCTTAATAACGCTGGGTGATTTTTTTCATCCCAAATTCGATTTTCGATTTTGATCGATTTGTTTCCCACTTAACGGAGTACCTCTGTTTCAGGCGTTGAAACAAATTTGTTTTACTCCTGTTTTTTGTAGCAAGAGCCTCAAGCAGATTTTGCAGTGAGGTGTTTGTTGCTCCAAGTCTGAGGTTACAAAACCTAATCAGTTCCAGAAAACTGAAGAAACAGTGCCTTTTTTGAGAAGTAGGTCCTATTTGCTAGCTGCCATATTGTCATGTCGTGTACCAAGCGTCTTGAGGGACAGGTAGGATGACCTCTGAACTACAGAAGCCCCAAAGGGTGCATTGGTGGGAA